TGCCCCTCCCATATTAACATTTAACACACACCCTGCCCCAAATATGCATTGTGGCTTTTTTAAAAAATAGATATTTCTCTAAAGGCTTCTTCCCAAATATTTCAAAGCACACCATTTAATTTAGATATCACTTATCCCATCAGCACCTCGAATGTTAGGGTTTTTTAAAAAAAAGATTACAGATCATATAAAATACAAGTCCAAACTTGATCGACCCACACCCTGCAAACCTCAGACCGCAACTGCCTTAGGGTCTGGCACAGGAAAGAACACATTACCCACACTTTTGGGCAGGGAACAGAGAAGTCCTACAGGTAAAGGGCACTTTCCAAATTGAAGCGCTAAGGTCGCCCAAATGCCCTGAACAGGTGGTCCTGTCACATGTTCATGGAGAAAGGGGAGTATGGACCTTCTGGCACAAGCATGAACCAGAATTTCATGTGCAACCACAAACCTTGGGATCAGCACAGGCACTCAGTTAACTGAAGCATAAGTTCTTAAGAAACGCTTATCACAACTTCTTGGCCATGAGCATGGTCATATGGACACATGCACTTTGATATTGCAGCACCCAGGTGGTACATGAATTGCTCCAGGAGCTGTGTGTCTCTGGCATTTTGTGCAATCACAATCACTGTTTGCAGGAAGGAATTGTAGGCACTTCAAGCACAGGTGCTAGTGGTACTGGCAAGGATGCAGTTCCTATCTGTTGGAAATGCATTCTTCTTGTCAGATCCTAAAGCCTTAGTGGTCTGAAGGTTTCTCAAGGATACAACTAGACTCTCTCTCCTGCATCTGCCTTCCTGTGTGCCTCTCAGAAGAAGAAGAAGAGAAGAGATTGGATTTATACCCTGCCCTTCACTTGGAGTCTCAGAGCGGTTTACAAACTCCTTTCCCTTCCCCTCCCCCTCCCCACAACAGACTCCCTGTGAGGTGGGTGGGGCTGAGAGAACTCTGACACAAACTGCTCTTTCAGGAACAGCTGTGCCAGAGCTTGTAACTGACCCAAGGTCACATCAGCAGGTGCAAGTGGAGGAGTGGGGAATCAAACCCAGTTCTCCCAGATTAGAGTCCGCACACTTAACCACTGCACCAAACTGGCTCTCAGCTGACCTCTCTGCTCCAAGTGGGCCTCACCTTTTGAATGGGAGGGGGAAGGGGGATGTACTGTACTTTGGATCTGGGAGCTGTCTCTTGCAATGCCCTCTGGGAGAAGATCCCCATTGTCATTTACAGTTTTGGAGACCCAGAAGATTTACCTCTTTGCTATCCTAGAAAGGTGGCATACAATGGATGCTCCTAATCTCCCACAAATTCTATCACGTGTCCCTCAGGCTCTTATTGGCTGGAAGCACAAGGAGGAGAACACCATGGACTGGACAATTTCCCTGGTGACTTCCTGTCAACTGCTTGGGGCAGCTGACTTCTCCCTGCCACAACCCTTCTCAACCAGCTGCAAGGACATAAGCAATCCCGGCCTTCTTCTATATGGACCTGCCCACTGATGGAAGATCTTAATGAGTCTTTTGATGCACATTCTAACAACATCTGAGGTACATAGCACTGTTTCATGGAACAGGGATTTCTCAGCAGTCCCATAAAGCACACAACAGTCAAAGGCGGTTTTCATTTGGGAGGGCACCTAGTTTTACTAATGTGTAAAATTATATAGCTAGCAATCCTCATCCAAAAACTATTTCATCAACCACTAAAAGATTATTTTCCTGTTAAACCATATATTACAATAATGAAGAATTATTTCAGTAGTCATTAAGTAGTAGATAATTTTCTACTCTCTTATACGGGCAACGATTTGTAAGAAGGTGGATTAAACCACCATCCTACATAGCAATTGTAACGATTCCTTGTTTTATTTGTGTGTGTGTGTGTCTTTAAAAGTTTGGATGCATGGTGGTGAGAGATAGTCTAGGGTGGTTGAAACAGGCAAGTGGTGTGATTGGTGATTGGCAGAAAGGGGGAGGGGTTTTAGAAAATGTGTGTCAGTCAAGAGTTACAGTTTAGACAGTTGATAAAGACAGTTAGGGAGTTAGTTAAGTTCTGTGTATGAGAGGAGGGAGACACATCCCTGTGTGGGATAAGTTAGTTCTGAAGTCTGAGAGAGAGACAGTATGCTGTGTGATACAAGAGCTAAGTTTTGTGTATGAAGAAAAGTTGAAAGTATAAGGAAACAAGAAAGTAAAGTTAAAGAGAAAAATATGAATGTCTGAGTGACAGACTGGAGAAACAGTGAACTTACATGACCTTGAGTTAGTGTTACAAAGTTACATGCCAAGATCCCTGACAGTGGAGAGAAAAGTGTGTGAAATACCCAAAGCACTTGTTCAGTATTTACCCATTCCTAGATACAGAGTCCTATCCTGTTATTTACGAATTACTTCAATAAATCTTCTTTTATTTAAGTCTGCCAGCTCTGAAAGGAATAATTTCTCATGAAACACACAGACCCTCATGAAGGCCTAAACCCTCGACCTACCTACCCAGTGATAGAAATATTATAGAAAAAGGTTTGGAAAGCCTTAAATTTCCTGGTGGCAGCCGTATACCCAGTTGAACAAAACATAAAGAACACTTTTATCCCCAGTTAAGGGGTCGTCACAGAAAAGAAAACTCAATGAAGAAGCCAGCTCCAATCTCCCTTATAAATAAAAGCTGAATGGTGGTGGCACTTCTCTAGAACATTCCACACGCTCCAAAATCAGTTCGCTCTCTGATCTGTTATTCAGAGGGTCTCCCTATCCACTGGCTGCTTTGCCTGAGTCCTGCCTCCAATATTCTAAACATTTTGCTAATCCTCTCCCCCCCATAGTCAGTCAGAACACAGAGGTTATTTGCATATGCAGCCTCATTGGCCTCTACCTTGGAACACAGAGGTCGTTTGCATATGCGACTTGATTGGCTTTTGCCTCTAACATTCTAAACAGTTTGCTGTTCTGAGGTAAAATGTGTCCAATCTCCAGGTGAGGGCTGGAGATCACTCAGAATTACAACTGCTTTCCAGATGGCAGAGATCAGTTCCCCTGGAGAAAATGGTGGGCTCTGTATCCTTATATGCTGCTGAGGTGGCCCCCGTATGACAGCCAATGTGACGTAGCAGTCAGGGCTTCAGAGCACGGGAGAGGCTGCAGGTGTGTGGGGGGTGGAAAGCTGAAGAGTGAGGGGGAAATAAAGGTAGGTTGATGATTGGCTGGGAGGTAGATAGGGTTGCCAACTCCAGGTGGGAAATTCTTGGAGATGTGAGGGATGGAGCCTGGAGAGGGAAAGGTTTCAGGAGGCATGGGACCTTGGACAGGTACAAAGCCATAGACTCCACCTCCAAACCAACTATTCCCTTCTGGGGAACCATCGTTGCCAATCTCCAGGTGAGGGCTGGAGATCGCTCAAAATTACAACTGTTCTTTAGGTAGCAGAGATCAGTTCCTCTGGAGAAAATGGTGGACTCAGTGTCATTATACCCTGCTGAGGTCGCCACAGCAAATTGACACTGAGTGTCCAAGGCCGGGGCACCCGCCCAGAGCCTCTTTCTAGAGGCCGTTGTATTTATTTCCACAACGGGCCTTTTTCCTAGTATTGTTATATTACATTATTTTGTTTAAACATCTGGGGTAACATAATCAGACAAAAATGCTAATTTTGGTAGGGGAGGGAGTTCTGAGCTATTGTGTGTCTTGTTGTTTTATGCTACTTTTAATTTGTGTGTTAAAGATTAACTGGGAGCCACTTCGAAGAATGCATTTATTCCAAAGGTGGGCTATGAAATGTATTTATTTTATCAATCAATTCAAAAAAGAGACACATTTTCAAAACCAAGTGCCCTAAAAATAAACCAAGATATCAGTGAAATTTTAAAACCCGATACAAAAGCATTTCTTAGGTGGAGAACATATAAAACATGTCATGCATCCATTCTGCACACTTAAAGCTGCTACTCTGAAGTTTAGGAATTTGTCATAGCCCAGATCGTCCAACATTAAAATCTGAAAAGAGCTTGAGAGATGCTCCCACACACACACAATTACAGTGTTTGTGATATTTCTGCATGTCATGTGCCTCAACAAGCATTTGTGAGCTATCTTCTTTGTCCTGGGGGAAGGGAGCAGGGATCAAGATGAGGAAATGTCTGTGTAGAGAAAAAAACTCCCAAGTGCCTTTGGCAAAACCCCACTGCTTTTTTAAAAGGGTTGGGCTATCAAGCTGTTCACACTCTCCAGGGCAGGGCACGTGCCTCTATCCAAGCCCCATAAATCTCATCCCTCTGCTCATCACTTTCATTCTTTTATGGACGTGTTGAGACAGAACAGATAGGAAAAGACGGCTCTGTCCAAGTCAGTGAGCAGGAGTTTCATCACCAAATGCCGAACCACCCTCAGGGCCAAATTTCTCTGACACAGAGGGAAAAAAACAGGCCATATTTGTTTGTTTGTTTTAATGGCTTTCAGAAGCACAAGATTTTTTGCTCCACCGTAGCTCTCAAACTGGAGCTGGGTCTTTCAGAGCATCCATGCATTCTACATCCACAGTTTCTCCCATTTGCCCAGTTCCTGATCTTTCCAGAAAGATCAAAGCAGGTTTTTGCCCACAGAGTGGATGGGCAGGTGCAGATTTCCAAACCTTCCTGCTCACATCCTGTGAAATTTTCCAAGGTAACCCCTTGTTAGTATTGACAACTTCCAGGTAGGGACCGGAGACTTCCCAGAATTATAGGTTACAGAGATCAGTTCCCCTGGAGAAAGTGGCTGCTTTGGAAGGTGGATTCTATGGCATTCGTCCCTGCCAAGGTCCCTCCCCTCCCAAACCCCACCCTTGCCAGGCTCCGCCCCCAAATCCTCAGGAATTTCTGAACCCACAGTGTCACGGGATTCCAGGCTGCTATATCAGCCACAACCAGTGAAGACACTTTGTGAGAGGTGGCAGAGGACGGAAGAGACGTAGCGAAGAAAAGATGCCCAGGAAACACTAATAGGGAGGTGCAGGGGTCTTACCTGTCGCTGCTTCAGGAAGTCGAGGGCAATCTGCACATTCTGTAGTCGGTGGAATCGCATCCGGCCCTTTTCCCGGGGCTGCAAGACAGAGAAAGCAGCTTCAGTTCAACCATCCCACCCAAAAAGCACATTTGTTTATCTCAGGGTGGCCCCTTGATTGCTCAGAAAATACATGAGGAGGCGTCCTGGCTCCCTTCAGAGTCTCTTCCCTAAAATCTCAAGCTGCCAGCTAAGATTCTCTCTGGCAAAGGTCACCAATCCTGGTTGCACAGCTTAAGCCAAAATGCAATCAACTCACACATAAGTTGCTAGGCTCAGGTGCCTTCAATATACAACACAAGACAAAAACTACAAAAAGCACACCAGGAAAGACTGAAAGAAGCAAATCTGTCAGTGAGTCATGGCAACTGTCCCAATCTCATTTCATACCATTGCCCCTGGAGTAGGAAACCAACCACCCTCACTTATGGAGGACAGGTTTATCAGTAGCTACTAGCCATGGTGATTAAAAGGAATCTCCCCATTCAAAGACAGTAAGCCTTCAAATATCAGTGCCAGGAGGCAACATGGGGCAGGAGGGAGACCTCAGCCTCTATGCCCTGTTGCTGGGTCTTACAGAGGAACTGCTTGGCCACTCTATAAGACAGGGTGCTGAACTAGATGGACCACTGGTCTGATCCAGCAGGGCTCTTCTTATGTTCTTATACAGGGGGTCCCTTTAAGATCTCCACAGAAAAGACATGCAAGAGACACACCATTTCCATCTACCCACTTCAAGATAGAAGAGTAGGTTTCATACCCCACTCTTCTCTACCTTAAGGAGTCTCAAAGCAGCTTAGAATCATATTCCCTTCGTCTCCCCACAACAGGCACCTTGTGAGGCAGGTGGGGCTGAGAGGGTTCTGACAGTGACTGGCCCAAGGTCACCCAGCTGACTTCATGTGGAGGAGCAGGGAATCAAGCCCGGTTCTCCAAATTAGAGTCTGCCACTCTTCACCACTACACCATGCTGGCTCTCACCAGAAGCCCACACCTCAGCCTCGGTCTCCAAAGACCACCCTGTCCCTCTTCTTTTGTCTGCTCTCAAGACAGCCATGCTTGGGCCTTACAAAAGAAACTTTGGAGGGCAGGTCTTGGGGCACACAGCCCACATTTAGGCAAGCAGGTCTGACTTCAAGGAATTCAAGGAATTCAGCTGAGCTTGACAGAGAGTTGCAAACACAATACAAGAAGTAATAAGAACAGACTTAGCAGCAAATACCTAGTTACTGGGCATGATCAATAGCTGAAATCTTACCACAAAAGGGGGCATCTTTTGCAGGGGGAGGGAGACTTAGAGTATCAGTATAATATGGTGGAAAGTGCCATCAAGTCACAGCATGCAATGAATAGAGGCGGTTCACCACTGTCTGCCTCTGCATGGTAACCCCAGACTTCCTTGGTGGTCTCCCATTCGAGTATGAACCAGGGCCAACCCTGCTTACACTAGCCTGGGCCATCCCATACCCTAGGACAAAACAACAGTTTTTAAAACAGAAGACCCAAATAAAAATAGGAAGGATGGGGACTGGAGAGGCTGTAGGACACAGGGAGCATCGTTTGGACAAATCATTTTATCTCCGTAGGAGAGAAAAGAAATCTGTTGCTTTATCGTGACCATGACCTTCTGCTCTTGCTCTGCATGTTGTCCCAGGATCCCCACAGAGAATGCTGGGATCTAGGATCGCAAGAGGCACTGAGCAGTCTCTCCAATCCATGTGATAGCTCAGATTGCCCATGAAGTCATGCAAGCCCAAGTCTGTACTTGGCCATAGGCACAAGCCAAAGAGATCTTGGCCCTTGGCCTGGTGTGTACCAGCACCACCCTGGGGTGGGCTTGTGCCTCATCACTTCTATTAAAGCTGTATTCATGATTTGTTGAGTTGCATATTTTCGTTGAAATCATACACTTTAAAAATATGAGTCTTTCATTTTGCATCCATATGGTTCCGCAGGGCCTGCAAGACAGCTCTTCCACCAGGCTTTTAATTAGGAGCCGCATCTAACAACTGAACTGTGGCAAGGCCCGGTCCCCCCTGGACTACCATCGGCAGCCTGCGCCAGCCAGTATAAATGGACTGGAAGCTGTATGCCAACTCTGACCATACTCCTCTGTGACCATTCCACCATGGCAATATTATACCGCCTTCAATACTGGCTACTAGCACTTTATGATTATGTTAACTGTTCAGGATTAACTATGATGTTTATAATTTATTATTTTAATGTGTTTTAACTCTGTATGTAAGCCACCCTGAGCCTGCTTTGGCAGGGAGAGCAGGATATAAATTGAACTAAATAAATAAATAATAAATAATGGTATAGCCTGATCTAATTAGATCTCAGAAGCTAAGGAGGGTCAGGTGCTTGGATGGGAGACCACCAATGATGACCCTGCAGGAGAAGGAACTGGTTAACCACCCCTGCTTCTCACTTGCCTTGAAAGCCCCTTGCTGGGGTCTCCATACTTCGGCTGTGACTTGACGGCACAGATGTACATTCATTTCATAAGCTCCTTGCAGTCCCCAATATGGGGGGGGGGGGGGGGAAGAGCAAAAACATAGGACCCCTCCCCCCCCCAAAAAAAAGACAGCTGAGCTCGGGACTCTGATGCCTTTCAGCTGACCCTGCCAGGGTTCCTGCCTGCACCCTCATAGCTCCTGCCCAAGTGATGCTGCAGCAGAGAGGAAGAGGAAAAGATAATCACCCAGAATGACAAAGACAAACAGAGAAAAGGAAATGCTAAAGTTTATCAAAGCAGGAGAAGGGGGGCACCCTCAGAAGCGGCAGCCAAGAGTCCCAGCCATATAGATAACACAGTAAGTTTTACTAACACAACTATTTTTAACTTCTTTAACCACCAAAGGACTTATACTCTTCAGAAAGGCAGGAAGACAGTCTGTTCAAATACCCATCCCCAGAGCAAGGGACCATGGCAGATGCTCTCCTTGTGGAAGGACCTTCTCCCTGGAAGTCCTTTAAGTCCAGAAGTGCTCCTCCACTGCCCCCGCCCCACCTTTCCACTGGGATACAAATCCCCTTCAGTCCTCTGCAGAGGTCAGGCAGAGAGGTCCGCACGCAGGCAAGGCAATCATCATGCAGCATTCATTGCTGATCTCTGACTACAAAGGTGCAGGCACACAACACCCTTGGTGCAAGATGTGGTTTTGTCTCCCCATGCAGAAAGGGCCATTAGATTGGCCTCCTAACCTTTCCTATATTCATCCTAAAAGGTTATATTCGATGGGGGTGGGGGGAGAGAGAGAGACCCAGCACCGCCACTTGCTTGAGTGTATGTGTACACATGCTCACATTGGTATGTACCCATGATTGTGTACATAGGAAGCATCTAAGCCAATGGTCTCTGGTTACAAGTGTGGGAATATCACACTTTTTGAAGAAGTGCACAGGAACTCCAACAAACGGACTATCATGCACTCACACCATGGTGGGTTAGTATTCCTTCCACATTCAGCTACCAACATCAGCATAGGCGCAGGGATAATCCAGTGAAAGTTCAGATACACACCTCCCTGGCAGAAACTCACCCCATGCCACTTTTGGCAAGGGGAAGGGACAATGTACAATTTGCACCTTGAGCAAATCGAGTTGAAGACAGTTAACGGCATTTGATGGGTTTAGATTTTATTCACTGGCAGTCCTAATTGAGATTTTAAATTGTGGCCTTTTATGGGCTTATAATTGTAGTTTCATTATATTGTAAATAAAACTTTTTAATTTTATTTATATTGTTTATAATTGTGGTTCTATTTGTATTGTAAGGTAGAAAGGCAGCTAAAAATGTTTTAAATAACGAAAATGTGCATTTCCCCCCCAAACTGCCTAGCTTAACTTGTGCCTGCCTGTGGAGGTCAGGAAAACTCCTGCTCTCCTGGTGTCCCGCAAACTATGCAAACTGATTCAAGAGGACTTTTGTGTGTAGGTAATAAGGTTGCACTGCACAAAATGGTTTTACAAACTTGCTTGGATAAATTATTAAGGACTATAACTGCTGTGTTTTGCTTATGGTAAGTAGGATTCTATTTATGTAATTTCTGTACCGCTTATTGAGTCATGTGAATACTTATGCTATGCTTCAGTTCTTTCTGGTGCTTCCAGACTGCTAAAATCCTAATGCATTAGTTACTGAATGCCCCCTTTTTGTGATTGTTCTGACTCATTAAGTGTAATATGCCTTGACTCCCTGTGGCAGACAATAAATAATGTAAATAAATAAAAGGTAAGATTTGATTGGGTTGCGTAATATATTTATGGCTGAGAGCAAGTGAAGAGACAGGGCAAGGCATCATGTTTTCACACACTTCTCTCTCAGGAATGATGAGGTCTAGAAACACGCATTTTTGAAAACAATCTTAAAAATGCAGGTTCTCCAGAGTCCACACATACTACCCAACATACTATACAAGACCCTTCTTGCACCCCCAGACCCCCATCTTCTCCACTGGCACACAAAAGGTCATCCTCCTGAACTTCTGAACATCATCTTCTTTCCCCTTAGTTTTCCCCTTCTGCTCCTGGTGCCTGAGATTACCCAGTACCAAGACTGCACGTACATGAACAGCATGCACGCAGTACCATAAGAAAACTAGATTTCGGAATCAGATGTCACACTGAAGAAGCACAGACAGGACAGGTGAATAGAATAAGAAGAGATTGGATTTATACCCCGCCCTTCACTACCCAAAGGTGTCTCAGAGCGGCTTACAAACTCCTTTCCCTTCCCCTCCCCACAACAGACACCCTGTGAGGGTAGGTGGAGCTCTTGACAGAAACTGCTCTTTTTCAAGAACAGCTCTTATCAGAACTATGGCTTGCCCAAGGTCATATCAGCAGGTGCAAGTGGAGGAGTGGGGAATCAAACCTGGTTCTCCCAGATTAGAGTCTGCGCACTTAACCACTACACCAAACTGGCTCTCAGGTGACTGAGGCCAGAAGTCTGTGTAAGGTTGCCTTTCGCACCATACAGTCCCCTTTCAATGTGCCTTTCTTTCCAGGAAATTAACCACCTCCCTCATCCTATTAAAAGTTGTAACTTGGAAGTTAGTCCCAATAGCTTTTGATGGAACTTTTATTTCCATTCAAAAAGCTGTGGGTCATCGTATCTTAAATGGGAAGGACAAAGTGCAAATGATGGAAAATTGTACAATGGCCACAGGAGACCATTTGTCAGCTGTGGGGGGAAGAGAGTTGCCAACTCCAGCTTCGGAAATTTCTGGAGATTCTGGGGTGGTGCCTGGGGAAAGTGGAGTTTGGTGAGGGGACGGAACTCAGCGGGGATGTGATATCACTTGGAATTCCATTACTCCTAGTCTCTGCAGTGTACTATAGGGCAGCCGTTTCCTCCAGGGGGACTGATCTTTGTGGTCTGGAGTTCCATTGTAACTCCAGGAAAACTCCAGACCTTGCCTGGAGGTTGAAGCAACCCGAGCTGCAGTGTTAGGAGAGTCTAGTAACAAATAAATATACACTGCAAAAACCTTTTAGCAAACTGATGTGTTCTATTTATGGTCAATACAATTCAATACATACAGATTCCTAACTACCAAACAATTTTGCATCAGTGTTTTTGACACTTGACTTGACTTTTAAAACACTGATGCAGAATTGTTTGGTAGTTAGGAATATGTATGTATTGAATGTTATTGCTTATTGAATGTAATGAACATTTATACCTGACTAGGATGAAATAATGATACACTATGCACTTTACTAAATGATGACCATAAATAGAACACATTAGTTTGCTAAAAAGTTTTTGCAGTGTATATTTATTTGTTACTAGACTTGCCTGGAGGTTGGCAATGCTGGGAGAGCCCCAGTTCTTCTAGAGTCACAACTGAAACCCCAGACATACATCCCAACGAACCAAACACTAGCTCAGCTGTCAGTCTTCCCCCCACGGTTCAAACCGTTTGTCTTCCCCCCCCCCCCAATTGAGTTGTACAAACATTCCTGTGTTTATCTCTTCATTTACCACCTTACTAATTAAAAGAGAAGTGTGTGTGTGTTTTAATTGCAAAACTGCTCCAAGGACAGGGAGAAAGGGTTCTCTGTGACATCAGAGGGGATGGTAGCCAATCAAGACCAATCACAGCCAGCTGCTGCTGCCAACCTGGCCAAACCAATTTTGCCAGAATTTAACACTGGAGAGAAAAGGTGTGTGCTTCCATGAGCTGCTGCACTGATCTAAAAACATCAGGTCTGTCTTCAGTGCAAGCAGGCGTGCGAGCGTGAGCACTTTAGTGAGACTAGCAGGGGCCATTTGCTCTGGCAGATCCAACCCATTACCTGCAATATGGAGCTCATTCAGGACTGCATTAAGGGTCGCAGTAATACTGCATGTGAGGTTGCTTTGAACTTGGGAATTATTATGCTAAGCAGAATTAGTATTAATTCCTGACTCTCAAAATCTTACGCCCTGAAATTCTTGCTGGTCTCTAAGGTGCTACTGGACTCAGATCTAACTGTTTTGCTGTAGACCAACACGGCTGTCCTCGGAAACTATTAATTCCTCCATTCCTTAGCAGATACCCCAGCCACGCCTGGATTATCTGGCTGCGCCCTGGTGTGTCAGTAACTGCCAGCTCAGCTGTCAAAGGCCATCGACATACTCCATCACCATCCTCCTCCTCCTCCTCCTCCTCCTCGCAGTCTTCACTGCTTGTGCGACACCAGGATGGCCCTCTCACCAAGCGAAGGCTCTTCTGCCCAGCAGGGTCCTTTGGCTAACAGGCACGGCAGACAAACAGCACCAAAGGGAAGAAATGGCAAACACTTGCCCAAAGAAACAAAATGCAGCAGGCACAAAATGCACAGGAGGAGGAAAGAGGGGCCAAAAAAATGGTCTCCTTTGCCCTCCGTGCTCTAGGGTTTTTGTTATTTTAAAGTAGAACACATGGCTTATCCCAGATCTTGCCCACAGCAAACATTCACAAGAAGTAAAGGGCAGAACATCGGATCACTCTTTCATGGGGCCAGAAATCACATTCTTTCTGGTCTCATAATCAGGTCACAGCTCACAATAGAGACCCCCCCCCCAATGCAGAAGGTACTGGCTATCACTTCAAGACAGTTCCCAGCTGCCCAGAAAGCATAGCAAGAGACAGCCCTGGGGATGCTGCCTCTCACCATCTGTAATTCCCATCCACATGTGTGGAAGTGGCCCATCAATAGTGGCAATTCAGCACCTTCCCCTCCAGAGGGTTTCTGACCACCTTTCCCAGGCCCACCTGCCCCTCCACGGGCAGGCCCTTTCCCATGGATTCATGGCATCAATAAACAATGCTAAGCCACAGCATCAGGCCACAGGTCCCATGGAAAAAGCCTTTTCCAAAGAGGGCATCTTTTCTATTGGAGGGGACAGCCATCAGTCATTGCCCGTGCCACCTGCCATTCGAGAGCCATATCTGAACTCTTGTGCAGGACCTTATTCTGACTCAGGGCCCATCCCACAAGGTGCTGCCCAGTCTAGAAAGGGATTGCCATTTCTGAAAAGCCAGTTTGGATTCGTTCTTTGTCAAATTCTGTTCTGGGATGATGCAAAAAAACACAGCTTGACCATACTCACGCAGGCACGGCTGTGGTATTCTGATCCAAACAGGGTGCCAGGGAGGCTTGGTAGACCCAGAGCCCAAAGGTGGTGGTCAATCCTGACGGGCCCTTCCCAACTACCCTCTTCTCAGAGGATTGGGGGGGCAGCAACCAACCTCCAAGGTACAACCCAGAGGAGTAGATCTTAGACAGGATTGGCAAGACCCTGTGCCGGTCATGGCACACTCCTATAAGTGAGCAGCTAGTGAGACAGCACCAGCCTGAAAATGCACAGCTTCAAAACTAGTACAACTGAGGTGTCTTTGGGCCAAACTAAATGTTACTGTTTCTAAAAGAGTTGGATCTGGGTTTCCCAGAATCAACTTGTGTTCCCTGCAGCTGCACAGCAGCTACAGGGAGCTGCTTTTTTTTCTTCTTCTTTAAGAAAGAGCCCAAATGGGCTCAGAATGGTGATGTGAGTGGAGGAAGGCCTCCTGCCTCCACCCAAGTCACTTTCCTGGGCAAAAATCACACTGGAGGGGAGTTATTTCCCTGATTTTGCTGTTCCAGGTGTACAGACACTCCATACAGAGTAGCAAAATCAGGAAAATAACTATCTCCCCTGCATGGTTTTCATACAGAGAAACAGCTTGGAGGGAAGCAGGAGCTCTCCACCCCCACAGCACTGTTCCAAGCCCACTGGGGCTCTCCTCCTCCTCCTCTTCTTTTTTTTTTAAAGAAGCCATTCCTTGAAGCTGTTGTGTGGCTGCAATGAACACAAACTGAGACTGAGAACTCCAATCCGACTCTTCAAAAACAGTAACATTTAGTTTAGCCCTTTACAAAGCCCCTTTATTTAGTTTTGCACATTCAGCAGTGCAGCATAGATGTGTACATGTGCCCACACACACACATACACACACAGAGATGACCATCACCATCATAACAATTGTCAGACCCCGCATCTATTAAGATGGGGGGAGGGTCACAAGTGACAAAAGACAGTCTACTTATTTAGACTAATATATCTATTAGAGGGGGACAAGCAAGGAGGACACCTTCTGCCTGTCCTTGCAGGTTTTCCTGCTGGCACATATAGGGAATCCCTGCTATAATTCTCAGCTCCTAAATTTCAAGCCTGCTGCAGGTTCAAGCTTTGGGTAACCCCAAGGTCCCAGCCAGATGGCCCCATACATCCTAGCTACCATCTCTGAAACACAGTATACATTCTTTTCCTATATACAGATTAATATTACCTGATGGGAAGAATATACTTTATAAAGGAACATGTCAATATAAATGCTATGCAATGAGGAAATCAAACAGATCCCCAAATATGCTCCAGATCTAAGGAATATGTCTTTGGCTAAAAGTCTGGGCTAAGAAGGAGGATGCTCTCCCAGGTAGTTAGACAGCTTTTATTGCTTAGCTGGCTGGGAAACTTACCAATTTGACACCTGAAAGGACCTCCAGCAGAGAGATGAGGTTGTGGCCATCCCGCAAGTCCTCGTAGAGGTCATTGATGTGCTTGCGCACCTGTGGGAAAGAGGAAGCTGTTCAGAGGCCTTGAAGTCTTCTCTGAACACCTCCCGCAACGCAGTGGAAATATGCATGGGAAAGGGGATTCAGAGAAACACTGAAATCACATATATTTGGTACAGGGAGGTGCAGAGGATTAATAAATGGCATTAAAGCCCCACCCTCTGATAAGAGGAAAACCTGCCCCCTCCCCCAAGATGTCACACTTTACAGTTTGTTTCTGCAGCCATAAGGACTGGAAAACATGCTTTAAAAATCCAGATGCCAGTATCTGTACATTCTCCTTCCTTTTGCACAAAATACACAAAGCATTAGGCAGACAGGCCTTTAACCACATTACGAAGGCTTTACGAACAAACATCATAGGATGGGACAAAATGGGGGGTGGCCTTCAGCCAATAAACTAGAACCAGGCTTACCTTCATCAGGTGCTTGTTCACCCATTTGGTGAAGGTCTTCTTCTGGACTCGATCCCGTTCATCTGTTGAAAAGGACACAGAAAGACAGAAAGAATTCAGGTTAGCCTTTCAGCCCACTGGAAAACAAGGAGTGCACTGCTGTGTATTCATGCCGCAGAACCATTTGAAAGCCTCTTTTGGGACCTGGAGAAAAGAAAATCAGTAGGCTTACAAGAGCATCCAAGGAAAGCCCAAAAAGCTTAAAAACAGGCTTTGCTATTTCTACACAGCTGAATTATATACCTTTTGCTGCTTTTCCGGAGCGTGTCGGTTTCATGAAATGCATAAAACTGCTGCATCTGCCTGCATTAAGGAGGAGGCCTTTTCGAGCCTTAAACAATAGTGGTAATTAGCAGCTTATTCTTTCACTGTATTTTGGTTCATTGGATTTTAGGGATTTAATATTTATTTCAGGCTCTCAAGCTCAGTCCAAGGACACCTGGAGAGCTTTGAACTTTCCAGAGTGCTTCAGGTACCAAGTGCATTCCAACCACACCAACAAACACAGGAGTAAAAGGGCCTCCATCCCCAGTATGCACTTCCCTTGGCCATATTGTGGTCACCAATTGCTTCCCAACCAAAAGGTGAGTTTTCTCATTTGCAAAAAGAATCAGTCAGAACGGGAAGAGGCCCAACAGGAACCCAGGCCAAGCGTTGATTTTAGCAACAGGGCCGTCCACTAGTGGAAAACACAAGCCATGCAGAAAGCGCATGCAGAACAACTTTAGCAATTGAGCCCAGCCAGACATTGCATCAGAATCCACCCTCCAGCATCACTAGCCCTCCTGGACAGGGAAAATACTATTTCTCTACCCTGAGTGACAGCAACAAGTCCCCATTCAATATTCAAAAGGTTTAATTAAGGAAATCTGAATTAATCAAAACTTCAAGCATAGGAAAAGAGATCAGAAGGAAAACTTTCAGAAATTTGTGTTGGCTTCTTTGCAGCATGCTCCCTCCACTCAAAGGCATAAACAGAGTTTCTTTAGTTACGCTGATGCTATCGGTTCAACTCAGTCTTGCAATGTTTGATTTCTCATTTGAAAGTCAAATACCATTCTCTCTCCTTATTTAGGTTTCTGTTTTTAACCCGCTGAATTCATAGGTACACATATTACAGACATACAGGATCTAAGTATACGCTAATGTGAATCAAAAAGAAACAGTTTGCTTTGGATAGCTAGTTTTTTCTCAAAATGCTAACTACACTGAAAACAGTAACAAATAAACCCCAAACATTATGCATTTCAAACTGCTCAAATGTTTAACAATGGGAAATCCCTTGCCCAGCTCAGAGAATTCTGACAGCTCCTCATCTCTTCATGGCCAGGGCTGCACATATGAGTCTACTGTACCTGGGTCATCAGACCCAGAGAACAGCATTCAACAATGTTCGGGGGGAAGTGAATTCAAACCATTCTGCTGTATACACACATCACTCCTTCTCAGCCTCAGATTGCCATCTGGAAAATGGGAACAGCAGGGACCTCTCATGCCCAAGGACTGGCGTGCAGGTCAAGAGGCACAGGAAAAGCAATTGGCATAGTGGAAAGCATGAGACAGACAGGCAAAATGAAGGCACATTTTTAGGTCCCTTGTCTTTCCTTTTCCTACATATCCCCCTACCTTTGTTGTTCTCTGCTACTGGCAAAATGTAGCTTTTAAATTCCTTGGGGCACAGATCTGACTTTGATGCTTTATAAAGCTCCACGCACACTGATGCCACTTTATACACTAATGCCACTGCTCTGTCTATCCCCAACTGAGCATTTATCCCCCCCTTTTAACTTTGATCTCTAGAGTAAATCTAACTCTTCCAGGACTTGCAGCTTCTCTGTGACCATGAGGATCCATGGGCAGAAACGGGTCAGCCCCAATTCACTGCACTTTGCATACAGAAGCCCTGGAACTCACTCACTGCTCAAGGGCTGTCCCTCTGCACAGCTCTGATCAAACCATCAAGGGCTTTCTATTATAAGGGGATGCTGGGGTTGGTGTCCAAGCTGAAGTTTTTAAAACTTAGCAAACGTATAAGGAGCACTTCCCCCCGATAACCCACTCCTGGCATAAGAACTCTCCAAGGGAAAAAAGTACTATGCATCACTGCCACAACATTTGATAGGCACGGGAAAACATTTTGGGACCCTGTAAATAAAAGGCAGCCTCAGTTGAACTGAAGTGGAAGCAGATTGCTGGCGCTTCGGATCAACAAGGTTGCAGAGCAGCTTTTGAACAAACTTGGGGGAAACCAAAAAGGAGCTGGGGAGCTTTTGGCTCAGGAGGCCTCTTCCCTAAGCAGCGATGGAGCCAGTGTTCCAGGTGATCTTAATGGGGGAAAGCAGGACCTGGACAGTGGGAAAATGGCAGGGAATGACAGCCACAGAAGGAGATGAAAGGGCACCAAGGATGCTGGGAGGTGTTTAGGTGCAAGTGCAAGAAGCCTCCATGCCAAGATTGGGGGGGGGGGTGTTGTTACAGAGCTTGGTGTTAAAAGTGAGAATGTAGACAATAACAGGCATTTCAGAAACATGGTGTGACCGGGGTGGGGTGTGTGGGATCAGTGGGATACTGCTATCCCTGGAAGTAAACTATATAGGAAGAATAGTTCTGTATAGGGTCCAATATCAGAAAACATAAGGGGAATCAGCCCACAAAATCGCAGGACCCAAAAGATAACTTAATAGTGGGGACTTACTATCACCATCTTGACCAGAACATAGCAGGCATGATGGAGTAAGAGAAGGAAGGCAAGCAGGCAGAGAAATCAAGGACAGTTTCAACTATCCTCACTGACCAGGCTATTCAGGGTGTTCAGGTCACGTCTCTAATGACCATAAAAGCTTGTGCCTTGGCACAGTCATGGTACTAACTAGAGGGCAGGTGAATCCTGGATTCGGTCCAAGATGTAGATGTTGCACTGACCGGGAACAGTCAGCACAAGGCTATTAACTCTAGTACTTATGTAACCGGAAAGTCCAAAAAAACCTCAACAAGGCAATTTGGCAAAAATGTGGAGGTCCAATTTATTCAAAAGGGCCAAATTCTTTCTGGATTTCTGCCTGAAAGTTATTTAAATCCAAAATAATGACCATCTCAGATAAAATGCATGCCTTAGAAAAGTTACCCTCAAATCCAATAAGATGCCAGTGTGGCTAGCAAACAGAAGCCCCAATTCGCCTCCTCCCATCAAGCGTTTTCCCAGAGTTTAAAGTCTTCTTTTCAGCCTCACAGAGAGCTGCTTCCAGATGAACTCCACCTACAGAGCTGCACTTCCATTAGGCATCCCAAAATACAGAGAGTTGGACCCCAAAGATCCATTCCACAAGGAGCCCTTCCCCACCAGACAAAAAGAGGTCCCGAGTCTCTTGCTCAGAGGAAAGGCTTCTTTGCAAGAACAGAACTGTGGGATTCAGCCTGGTATTCTCAGCAGGGCTAGAACTGGCCCAATTAAAAAGATTTGTTTTGGCTTTTAACAAGCCATCTGGGACTTTCTTCCCTCCTGTAAGATGCTTTCTTAAGAAATATTGGGGACCTTTCACAGGCTCTCCATGCACTCTGATTGTGAGCTGAAGGCCCCAAGACCTCTGCCCCATCTCACTTCAGCCTTGGCACAGTCAATTTGCAACATTTCCCTCCAGAACAACTTCGGTGTTCCAGAATAATAAACCACTGGCTACTGTGTACTTTATTTTAGTACTCAGACAACCCAATTGGGAAAAGCAGCGAAGGGACTCTTTCTTTGCCACTTAAAAGCTTCTCTCATTATATCTTTACAGCTTTACTATACTTATTTCTAACAACTCATCTAGTTATGATTTCCCACACACTCCAAAAAATGCAGGGGGGGGGAGGAATCTTTCCAAGAACAGCAACAGACAACACAACACGCAGCATGCAACCAAGTTTCCATACCTGTGATAAGCACAGGTACCTAGTGATAGAGCAGTGACTGTACAGATGAGCTTCTGGCCCAATATTTGCATACAGGAACCCCCTTTCTTAGTCACCTGAAGCATGACCTAATACATTTCCCCCCATGAAGCCCAGACCAGCCAACTTGGTTTTCCTCAACTCTCTTTTAAAAACAACCCTGTAAAGTAGGAAAGGGTAGGCTGAGAGTATATGTAAGATTCATGGCAGGGCCTGGATATGCCTAGTCCTAATCCAGTACTCTAGCCCCTGCAGCATACTTTCTCTCAGCTCTCCATAAATTCACTTGAGTACGTTCCCTTGAAATGAACAAGTTATACAAGAGCATTCCCATTCAGGCCAATGGAAAAAGAATTTCTGAGAGGGTCACTTCTGACCATCTCCTACTCTACCTCCTGTTACAGTGCCCACCTTCCCTTCCTCTTTTAGGAGATCCCCCTCTGCTCTCTCCAAGCTGGACTGAACAAAGCTGCACAGCAACAGAATTCAACTTTCCCCCTCCCTGGTGTGACTCAGAAAGGTCCCCTCTGCTCTGAAAGCTCTTCTTAACATTCAAGGCCACAAGGTTGATTATGGCCCACTGACAGTATCCCCCACCCATGAGTCAGAGAAGGGTGATGGGAGTCCGAGGTTGCAATCCCTAACATGCTTAACCAGGAATCTTTGAACTCAAGGAGGGCTGCTTACTCTCAAGGAACTGTGCTAAGGAGCAAGCCCTCTGTTTCCCCTCTCAAAAGCAGTCAAAACCAAGGAGAGCTGTACTAACCGATACAGCACATCTGGCTCGCCAGGTGGGCTTTCAGCTCCCGCTCTCCACTGAAGATGTGCCACATGACCCCCTTAGTCCCCGGCAGCTTCAGCTCCTCAGCGTGCCGCAGAGCTGTGCCATCTTCCTGTTTCCCTTTCAACGTGGCCTCCTAAACCTCATGCGGCCCGACTCCTCCCACGACTTCCTACGCAGCGAATGGGACAATCGCACTCTCCGCCTTTGAGAACATCATTCCAAAAAGGCCCTTCAAGCTGGAGATGCTGTTCTTGTGCCTTTGGAGAAGAAGACTTGCTTCACCGGAAGGCTCCCAAGATGTCTGGAGCC